ATTGAATACAAGATTCCTCAGAATAGTTTGTCTACCTTTATAAAAAACAAAAAATGTATACCGGAAAGTCAAATTAAATTTTTATAATAAGTGTTTGAATTTAAAATGTTTACAACATTGGATATTCACTCGATTTCTCATACTATAGAAATTTTATTATGTTGTTGTAATTCAAAAACGAATAACTATGTAGATACTTAAAATTTACACCATATGTTTATTTTATCAATTTCTATACTTGATAACATTTTCATATTTTGACTAGGTTGAGCTGTTTACGGATATTTTCAATTTTCAATTTTTTTAAAATTTTTTTATCTATAAAATATGTCAATACAATTTTATTTGTTTTGTAAAAAAGCTTGAAAATGTACCTAATACAAGGCTTCTGATATTTTGTTTTCATAATAATTTTTAAATATTAAAGATCCATATGTTTGATTTTTTTTATAAGTATTTAAAGTTCTAATTTTGACAAAATTTATTAAAATCTTGAAAATGATCAATTATTGTAATGTTAAAATTATAAAATGTTCAGTTTTTATGGTTAAGGATTGCAAATTTAAAACAAAGATCCTCATTAAAAGTTCATACTGTAAACAAAAAATCCAAAAAATATACAAAGAAATTTTTTAATGACATTTTAAATTCAATTTTTTTACCAAATTACATATTAAAACTAAGATACCATATAGAACACCGTCTATAACAGTGACCCACTTGTAACAAGTTAGTACTGTACAGCAGAGTGACATCCACTTAGTTGATTTTTATGTTTGTACTGTTATAGTATATTTCCATGCAGGAAATTTTTCATTTCGAAAGTACTGGTGCTTTAAAATTATAATTTTTGTTACTTTCTAATGGGAAAGTAATAGACTAAAAATAACTTTCCCTAGAAAAAAAATTATCAACCAACATCCAAAAAATTTAATCTAATCACTACAAGCTGATTAAAATTGTTTTTAAGGAATGATTTTGCTTTTTTAAATACTTATTTATTTTATTCTTTATACTGCAATTATTATATTGTTAATAAAAAACCGCTAATTTGCCTAGTAGATAAAACATTTACAATATTGTGTTTGAAATAAAAATTTACTTATTTTAATATTACCTGCCAATTTTTAAGTTTTTCAAAATATTTTTGAAAACTATGATAAATAACAAATTTTTGTTGAATATATTTTTATCACTTTAATATTCCTAAATTTTTTTTAAAATATTTATTGTTATTTGTAGGTATTAACTATTAACTATTACCTAAGTATTATTTATGAAGCTTAATTAAATTTTTTTTAAATGGCCTATTATGGTGAACCTATATTAACTTTATATCCATAAATAAATGTAAATAACAACATATTTTTGTAATATTAAGCATAAACTATATAATGATGAAATATAAATAAACGAGTGTCATTAATAATAAGGTATCATTAATATGCATGCACGTTTCTGTAATTAACATTTAATTTTAACTACACACCTCTTGTTTAAGAATAATTACAATTTTACTTACATACATTGTAGATATTTTTCATATTAACACATGAACGATTTAAAAAAAAAAAACATTAAATTACAATTTATGTCATATTGTTTAATAACTCCAAAATTACAACTTTTCAGAAAAGAATAAAACATATTATCATTATTTAAAAAAATTAATTAAAACCTTCGAACTTTAACAGCTGATTTCATGGATAAATAAGTGTCCGATTGGAGTGATAACGATTTTAAACGATGCACAAAATTATTATCCATAGGAAAATGTAATAATCCAAAAATTTCGATTTTTGGAGTTAGGACAATTGCGAGTTAGGCCGACATATTATGTAATATTGGCTGTTTAAAAATTGTTTATATTTGTATTTCTCAAGCCATATTATGGTTTTTGTGTCTCTATTCCTCTGCAGGGTACTAACGGGATGTACATTTTCAAAATTAAAACTAAAAACGTGGGTAAGTGGATGTCACTCTGCTGTAGTGTAGGTTACAAGTGGGTCAATGTATAATGGATTGTATTTAACTTGAATTCAATGATTTAATATCATTGTATAAGAAAAACGATTCTGAGTGGAGGCGGCTTGTCAGCCTGGATTTTTTTTATATTGTTATTACCTTTTTATTATAACCTGTAAATTGAAGTTGTATTAAAGTATTGTAATAATGTTAGAAATTAAAATTTAATTTTTAGGTGTTTCTTGTAATTTTCGGTGGTTTTTCCCCTTGGAATTAAATAACTATTGATAAAATCAAAAAATTACATTCTTAAAGTAACATCTTGATCCAATTTGCTAAAATATAAAGTATTATATGTTGAAATCAAAGCACTCCTTCTGGTATAAAATTTGTTATTGGATAAAAAATTCTTAATAAGTAGATCTATAATAAATATAACATATGCACGGGGTGAACTTTGAATTAATACATTTTAATGCATAAACGAATTATAAAAAGTCTTCAGTGGATTTCAGCATACTTGTGCTATATTAATGTTAGGCTGAAAAGTTGAAAAAGTTTTCAAGTGACTTTTTATTACTTGCCAAAGAGTGATGAATACTATTCTTGAAGTATTAATTTTGTTTTAATAAATAAATCAATAACATCTAATAAATCACTATTATATAATTTCAAATTGTAGTGAGATGTAAAGTATAATAAACAATTTCAACTGTGGAATAGATATACAAATCAAGTCAAAGGCTTAAAAGAGCGAGATGAAAAGTTTTAATTTCCTTTTGAAAAGTTTCATAAAAGTTTTATCGGGCCAGTAAAATCATGAAATTTTCATCTCTGGCTATACTTAGTGCCACATTGCCTATAATGTTTGAAAAATTTAAGGGTCGATATGATAAAATTTACTCCCTTATTCAGTTATGTACATTTAAGATTATATTAATCACTGTAATGTTAGTATTTTAGGGCGGATGTCTAGTGGGTCACAATTATTATAACAGCCAACAGGTCTATTATTGAGTATTATAAGTTATAACTTATAACGTTTCTTACGTTCTCGTAAACTTGAAATTTCCTCCAGACAACCAATGGTACATATTGCTTTAAGTATTGCAAGTTACAACAGTTATTAGTATAACAATTGCATAGAATAAAATATGATAATATACATTAACGGGAAATGGATAGATAATCTAACTATTGTAAATTAAATTTACGAGATGTTAATTAAAACTTGTAAGACACGATAAAAGGACTACGTTATTGGATAAATGTATAAAAAAAAATGTCTGAACTTTTAAATAATAATGAATATAAATATTAATTATTCTGATAAGATGTTTAAAATAAATAAAAGAAAACAAATTGATGAATTAGAAAACTAAGTACTGTTGAAACGTAAAACAAATGAACGTTTATTAAACATATTAAATGTCTAAAAAATATGGAAATGAAGTATAATAAAATAATAATTATTTTTAAACTACCGTTATTCTCAACTTATATTGAATAAACTTAGTGATTAAGATTATATAATAAAAAATTAAGTAGTATTATATAAATTAGGTATAAGCTATATAATAATCATGTAATGGATGATTGTATTAGAAATATATATTTATGTAAGTATATAATATTATACTTACTATAGATTTCCTTTGTAATATTGTACTACGTATATCATAGAGTAAAACTATACCAGACACCTGCAAGGGCCTTGAACGTAAAGTCAAGGGAGGTGATAGTGGTCAGAGGCATGTCGATGGGTGTATTAAAAAAAAAAAATCAATTTTTAATTTGTATTGTAACTATGTATTGTCACTGTGCTTGTCACTCTACTATTATACTACGATTATCGCATCAAAATGTTTGAATAAATATTCACCATCTATGGCATCTCGTATCAAAAAAGTTGCTAACTTTCGAGTGGTTACTTTGTCAATGAGCAAGTAACTCTAATGTATGTGTTAAACTTGAATTCAATAGGTAATTAATTAATTATTCAATTCTTACGAAAAACGATTTCGATCGGAACTGTCAGAAAATGTTTCTCGGGATATTTTTATATTACTATTAGTAATTTGTTTTTCAATTTTTAATACAATAATACGATGGGTTGAAAAATGTTTTGCCAAAAGCAAATCGCATGCATTATGTGGTAATTATTTTAATATTATTAATTATATCATATTATAATATTAATATATTTTAGCTGTTATTAACTTATATGAGACAATACTGAGGCAACGTAGAACAGTTAGGTTCATGAATTACCTAAAACTTTAAATGTTTGTTACAAACATAAAAAAAAAATAAAACTCCAAAATTTTAAATGTACACGGATAAGTGCTGAAATATTCTGAAACTTATCCCATGTCTAGAAAATGATAATATAAACATTAAGTGGTAAATTCAAGTCTATTATGCAGTGATTCATATTATATGAACTAACGCCAAAAAACGAACGTCGATTTTGTTGAAAACTGGAAAATTTCTTATTTGGATTTTCCTGTTAATTTTTTTTCCTTATGATTATCGCATATCTGCAGTAACAACTACGTTAAATTGTCTACCAAGAACTCGTCCCAAAATTGAAAACCTAAGCATTTTTACTGCTACAAATTGGTGATGTAGACACACACACACACACACACACACACACACACACACACACACACACACACACTTATATGTAAAATCAAATCGTTTCGCTCAGAATTTAAAATAAAAATGATGCATTCCACATACACTATATCGAATATGGTATAATTGGTCGAGTAGGTAATTACCTATATACCTACCTGTTGTACCATTACAGTATTTATTATCACGGCAGTAAACTCGATTTAGGTGCACGAAAACCCAATCGGAAACCCCAAACCGTATACCGCGGCGCATAAAATTATGTCGGAACCGGTTTTCGTTCCGTCGGAGTTTTCCCGATCTCGCGGTCCTTACACCATACCTGGTATCCATCGGTTCTCATTCGTTCATTTAGTGTCGTCCAGCGTGGAGCTGTAATATAGTTATTGTTAGGTATGTACTTCTCATACATTTTCTGCTATGCTCTGCTCGTTGCATTGGCCTCCTCGTCGACGTTCACTCCACCCGACATATTGTGGTTGGACGAAGGTGAGTAAAACCCAGTCATAATATTATTTCTATTCTAATATTTAATTTTAGTTTTAGTCATTATAATGCTATAAACACGTGTAGGTAGACAAGGTACACAATATTATTATTGCCTATTATCGAGTCGTCGAAATTACTTTATAATGTGAAATTGTTGATAATATTAACAGTGAATATGTACCTATATACTACTTAAAAGGAAAGTATTTTACTTCACTGATAATATTATGAGCGAAAATAAATCAAATAGGCCATACCTATTATAATAATATAGTATACGACAACTGAACGTTTATAAAATAATCACTATGAAACTTTAAGCAGGTATTACAGATATTCTATTTATCATTTATACCTAGGTATACAGTTATACCATCATACATCTTATAGTACATATTAAATTAAGGAATTTTTTTTAGTTGACAAAAATGTACAAATTGAATTAGGTAGGTATTAATAATATAGAAACACTAATCAGTCGATTTATAAATTTCATATTTATTGTTGAAAGAAAGATTCAAAAAATACTAATTTGTTGATAAAATTAAAACAATTTAAAACACGTCTTTAAGATGATGCAATTTCAATACATTTTTTTATAATTACTCTGTAAATTATAGAGGTTAAAATAAATAATTCTTATCGTATTAAATAAGTGTATCAGAAAACTGAATTAGTATAAAATTTAAAATAAATATAATATAATATTTTTAATTAGTATTTTTTAATATTTTTAACCTTACAATCTTTTTGGTTTCACATTTTGACTCGGGTTTGAATATTTAATATGTATTTTAATGAATAAATCATTTTTGAAAAAAAAAAACAAGTTTAGTTTATCTTCTTTGGTGTAGGTATAATTTTAGTACTAGTAAATAAATAATAATAATAATAATACTTTAAAATCAAAATTAAAATTAGTTTTTTTTTTGTTGGTAATATTAAACTTAATTATGTTAATTTTCAGTGGATTACTTATTATTCAAATGATTAATATCTAAAAAAATAATATTTTAATTTTGTTTGCTTATTTAAAAAAGCTAATTTTAAGTATTTAGAATTCATTTTTAATGATTTTTCGTGTGAACGAATATATTTTTAATTACCTACCTGAACATTATTTTTTATCATCCTCGAGTGTGTTCGATAGAAATTACGATTGTGATCAAACTGTAGGTATAGTCTTTAAGACTAAGTCTAATTATGACCACATAATTTTGCATACGATATTACGGCAATAGTTTTTAGTAGATAATAATAATTATTACCTACAGACAACTTGTTGTGCCTGCCTAGATCTTTGGTGAGGTTATTGTATAGGTATAGGTTTGAGTGTGTTATTTTCATTAAATATTCATAGTAATTAGTAACTACACACTGATAACTGTATTCGTTATTTTTAATATCTGCAGCAATCTGAGTATTAATATATTATTTTGTGATATTAAAAATGGAAACTTAAACGAAATTAAAATAATAACAATGAACTTTATACAGCACAGAAAGAAACTTATTCAGGTTTAATTCTTTGCGAATACACCTACTTTTAATTTATAACCATCCAATGTCGATAATTATTGTAAATTATCATGATAGATCTATACTTTAGAGCGTTATGTTTGATACATATTGTAATAATTACCATTACCTATATAGTTATTATAACTAATAGAGTTAAAGTTATCATTAAGGTATCATTTTTATACTAAAATTACTATAATTTATTACCTTATTCATATAATTAAATTATTGTACTATAAAATTCAGATGTGTAATGATACACATTTACAGCTTCAGTTACTTTAGTTGAGCTTAAAACAAATTTATATAGTAAATTCAACGACTATAATTTGATTATAGTACCTATCCATTTTAACTTATAAAACTATAATAACTTATGTGAGTTTGATGAAAATCCCTCCACCACACGAACATTGGAGTACAACAATTTTAATTTATGTATTTTTACATAATATAGTAAATAGGTATTTATGCTTCGTATGTAGACTACTCAATAAAATAAGTGTAATTTAATGTCCAAGGTCGTTGAACAACGTTCAACTATCAAGTTCAATGAAAAAAAACTGGATGTGTGTATTTAATAAGAAAACAAATTAACGTGTATAGGTAGGTATAACGTTAAGGTATACAATTCAATGTGTGTTTGAGCTATGACACTATATAATAATATGTGTAGGCACCAGAAAACTCGTTTGGTAACCACTTCTCAACTACAATTTTGTCGTAATTATTAAACACAAAAAAAAACTTACTGAAATAATAATAAATAATATGACCACATTTTCATAGAGAAATTGAATCATTCCGTATATAGTTCGCACTCTAAAATAATAAAATTCAACTTTAAGTTATCTATAATCGACTTAAGGGGATTGGAAGCGGCGATTTTCTGTCTTTATCTAACACACGTGGAACATAGGATTATAGACGTGTTCTATGTCCAACGTACCGATTAATCTAATGAAGCGATAAGAATTCTGAAAACAGATTTGAATTTGTCGTCAAGTCTACTTGAGATCGACTTTCCCACATTTTTGATTTTTTGATTTAAACTTCTCCAAAAGTTGAAATTTGTAAATTTTTTAAGTACTTTTTATAATATATCATTTTTATGATTTTGGTGGGACAATATCAAAAATGTGGGAAAGTCGATCTCAAGTAGACTTGACGACAAATTCAAATCTGTTTTCAGAATTCTTATCGCTTCATTAGATTAATCGGTACGTTGGACATAGAACACGTCTATAATCCTATGTTCCACGTGTGTTAGATAAAGACAGAAAATCGCCGCTTCCAATCCCCTTAAGTACAACAAAAAGCATTGGTAAATAGGTACCCATGTATTTGGCGGGATGGCTGCCCTGTTCAATGTAACTTTCCCTTTTCAGGTAGTATAGTTTTCTTTAAAATTTACAATTATATAACAACAGAATAAAACAATTTTTATATTTATTAAATATGATTGTATCCAAAAATGTGATTTTTTGATAAAAATTATTACTTACAACGAAAAAATAGAAAAATTGTTAGTGGCACAATCAAAAATGTTGAAGCCCATCTGGCAAATCTTGTGATATGTGCAGACTACGGTCAATAATAATTAATAATTAATGTCAACCGAAAAAGGCCATCCACTATAAAGTTGTTTATAATAATAATCAGGTTTATAATTGTCATTTATATTGCTGGAAATACTCTGCAGAAAGTCTAATGGGTGATATTGTGGAGATCGCAGTAAATACCTATAGTCTGTTTTTTTGTTCAATTATATAACTATACCTATATTACCTGTATAAAACAACTAAAGTTTATTATACATGGTGGCATTGAAAATTGTTGTTTTTAATTAACAAAAAAAACCACATGTATAGAATAACGATTTCCTCTCCGGCTCTTTGTATTAGTTATTGTTACTTTTTTTTTTGTCTGAAGAAGACCACACAATATCTCAGGAGTTCATAATAAATTAAATTGTTTAGATGCACTCCGTTGCACTTCACACTTAATGCAGCTAGACAAAATCACGGAACAGGTACCGATTTATAACTGGCTACAACAGCATAATTACTACCTAACTTTAATATGTAAATCACCTATAAGTCCTATATATTATGTAGGTATATATATATATATTTTGTTCAATTTGTAGTGTGGTAAACAACTAAGGCATGGACTCAAAATTAAAATCTATCCATATCGCATAATATTGTAATATTATTATCAAAGGTAGTTCGCGAGTGTAGTTGATTTTATCATTACCTAATGCAGAACCTACTTAATCTTAGTACACATATTTGGAATAGTATAATATATGGGTTATTAAATGCAAACAGGAAATATATCGACTATAAGTGTATAAAAAATATTATATTTAGGGCTAGGATTTATGTGCAATAAAAAATATTTTTACATTATATTTAATATTTTTTGAATAAAAATCAGAAACTTATTGAAACAGAACATACCCCACTAATTAATATCGATTTATTATTTATTATAAGTAGTTTCTATAGTTACCTATATTATTGCATTGGATATTGCTGTAATGATCTTTCAAATTTTGAAACACGAATGACTGGACGATGAACGATGAATGGATATTGATTAAAACTTATTGTATTTATGAAAAACAAAAATAATGTATAGGTAATCCTATCGGTTGTCTGACCAAAATAGGATTAGATAGTAAATTTAATTCGAAAAATAACCCAATAATAAATTATAGACGTTCATTAGACAAATAACATATAAAATCCATAAGATTTCCAAAAATCAAAGTATGTAGTTATATACGCATTATGTTCAAATATCCAAATATATTTTTAAAAAAAAGTTGTTCTATTTAATGGAGAATAATTTGAATCGTGGACATATTATCTAACAAACAATCAATTTGGACTCAAGCAGGGAAAAAACATGTGAATCATAGACATATAAACTAATTTATAAGTTTATGATGTAGGTACATGCATAGATTCAGCTCTAAATTTATAATATGATATTATATTATATCTTATTTTGTCAGAATTATTTGACTGGCCGCCGAAGAAAGTCATATTGATAAACGCCGTTGTAATAGTTATAACGATATGATAATGCAGCTTATTAAAATATAATAATATCATTGTGACGAATATTATTAACGACAGTGTTTTTTTTCTCGTAGAAGAAGTCTGCAAGAAGAGTTTAATTTCGGGGAAAACTCACGTGTGCAAAGTGCTGGACGACTGCAAGACGGCCATTCAGGACATTAGGGACAACGTTAAGTATCCGACCATTTGCAGTTTCAAAGGCAAAATGCCAGTGGTGTGCTGTGCGCCGGAGACTGTGACCAGAGAAGAAAGACTAGCCACAGATGAAGTCATTCCGGAAATTTTACCAGGAATAACTCGTGAGTAAATTATTATGTATTGTAAGGTAACGTAGAATGTGTAAAACTGTATAATTATTATGCAGGTCGATTCACACAGAGCATGCTCAAGTCCTCACCCCCTCTCTCTCTTTTTATACGTCTATTGGTATTCTGGTTTTTTGGAATTTTTAAGTAGGCAGGTTGGTATTATACTAGAACATTATTCGACATTATTACAAAGTACCGTTTCTATACGATTTGAGGAATGTCCTATGGCCGATACAATCTCCTATACCTAATCACAAATGACAAATTCTTTTTTTACTTGTAAATTATTGTTGGTAGGCACATGATTTGTTTTCAATACCTACGTCGATGCACTCAAATTGAAATTTTCTTATTGTCTCAGATATTATGAAGTTTATATACTGAGGACAAAAATCTTTAATAACTGTTTTACACAAACACACATTATTTTTACATAATTTTTTATGATATTATAAAACTCCTACAATTTTTACAAATCAAAAAATGTTGATGTATTAATATTATAACTATAAATTTCAAATTATCATCGGCCCAGTTATTGGTATACTTTAATTTATATTAATTATTAAAAATATACTGTTATATTCTACAAGTATAATATACGTCAGAAACTACCCACTCGAATTTCAACTCACTCAAAAAAAAACGTTTCAAAAAAAAAAAACGAGCGTGTAAGAAGTACGCGGGGATGAAGTGAAACTTCTTTCAGTCATACAACTGATATGAGGTTTTGTAATAATAATAATAATAATAATCTTATGTTAATTAATGGTATATATATATTTATGGTATTAATAATGATATATCAAGAAGGTACCTTCTACAAAGTATACATGTAGGTTACTTATATATAATATAAATAATTGTACTTGTACCATTTTCTATCCAAGTATAAAGGAAACATATTGGTACGTTGGTAATGGTAAATATGTAGATGAAATCAAGTATTAATTAAATATTTATTATTATTATTTATTAAATAGTTTAATTAGTATAGTATAGTTTAGTCATACCATTATGCAATTTACCTGCCAGAATTTAATTAAATACATTAAGTTATATTTTGTTTTCTCACCTAAAAACCGTAATACATTAAGTAATACCTACTACCTACCTTTATAATATTATGTGTAGGTACTTAATTTATACTTTTAGACCAATGGATCAAAATATTTACTAATATCAGTAGTAATTCATGTCCATACATATAATATAACCCTACTATTATGTATATACATACATCTATAAAATACATTAGTCATATTATGTAGGTACATAATATATATATATCAATTTGTTATTCATAAATTATTACATTTGATATTAAATAAATAAATATACTTGATAGACCATAGACATATATATTGAGTAATATCAAATTATGTCATATCATTATACAATTGAACCATCAGAGTATTATATACTATTTGAAAAATATAGGTGCGTTGGTCATTGTAAATGTGTCAAATATTAACTAAATATTAATTATTATTATTATTATTATTTATTAAATACTTATAGTATAGTCATATAATATGATGAAATTCATCGAGTTATATTTTGAATATACATAATTTGACTCACCTAAAAATAGTATATTATATTATATTATATTATATTATCGCGCACTCTGGAATATTTATTATATATGCGTTTTCGCTTTTATCAACTTGACTACGGAATATTGTTTATACCATGATAAAATAACATGGTATGCTGGCAACTTTATGATACGCATACCCCTTACCCCGCCGACCATCATACAGAGCTGTATCCAGTTCGCCGCTTTTCATTGGTTTTCATGATCAATATATATACATAGTGCATTATGAGGAGAACTGGATACAATGAAATGCGCAAACTCCGACGATATTCAGTTCGTTGCCATCATACCATGTTATTTTATCATGGTTTATACGTTTATACTGGTTTGTTTATAATATCATATGATATGTTTCCAAAAAGATTACAAAATATTGAAACGGAAAATATCAAAAACTTTATAAACAAAACATCGTACCGTTTTCGTGACGCCCGAGCGTCCGTGACCGAGCGTCACTCTCTTTTTTTTCAATACCCCTCACATAAGAAGTTTAACTTCAAAAGTTTAACTTCAAAAAAATCATCTCCTTATAAATTGAATTGTGTGTCCTTATTTGAAAAAAGAAGTTCATGTACAATACCCTTTAAAGTATATGAACAATTATCGTAAATCATAGTACACTGCTCATAGTTTCTATGCTCCACGCAAAAACATTAATTGATCTATGTTTTTGATGCATCTACCTGAAAAAACAAATTCACGTTTAAATTTAGAGTGGGTCATAGAAACTACGAGATTCTACTATGTAGAAATGTACGTAGAAATTCTATAGAAGTAGCATAATATAAGTATCAAAAAAATTAGTTTAAGCGGTACCTACCTATATTCCGCATGTCAAACTTTTCGAATTTATAATGTTATATTCCTTTGGGAATAATTCCCTGCAAGTGACCCGTTCGTAAAATAACGTGAAATACTTACCTAAATATTTGTTTTAACAATAAATAATATTATTAATAATATTCAAAGATTTGAAATGATAATATTTTAAGCCTCAGCGCTTACTGCAAAGTACGGTATGTTTATTTCGTTTTTATTTTTTAGTGCATTTCGAAAGCTACAAAGATGGATTGGTTGAAGATAATCTCATCACCTACTCAAGACCTCGTCGTCAAATTGTGTCACGAATCCGATAAAACTCACGAATGATATCACGCGAACAACGCAATGCACATTTTTACGAATCGAAATGACCACCGAATTCGATTCACATTCAATACCGGTCACAGACGACATTGCGCCGACAGGTTGCTGCTGCAGCCCTCATAATATTATTATTATTATCCTGGTACTGGCTCACGAATTGGCGAGGAAAAGAAGATCACAAGACATATCGTACGACTTGTAATATTATAACATTTAATTATATTATCTTTGCGACATGCTGACTCTCCTCCGCATCACACCACTCGTCGGTCCAGGGATTTTATCACTTTAAAAAAATACAAAAAGAGTATACGACTTTGTTCAATATTGTATTATAATAATATGGGAATATCGACGACCTCGTTGGATTGCATTAGTCACCGGCAATGTTGTGGAAACGGTTTACATTTTCGCATCGATCAAATATAATATTATAGTGGTCCGTCCGAATTGTTATCACCGAATCCGCAGGTGGTCGCATATATAATTATTAAAATACTACGATGGCATGATATACCTCAATACAAAATAACACACAACTCATAAAACAATGTTTTGAGTTTATGCAGTCAACCGAGGAAAATATCTCAACCGCAGCGACCGCTTTATGGCCATCGAAGATAATAATATAGTTTTGCGATGCAAATTTTGCTCGGGAAACCGGTCCTATATCACATAGTGTTATATCCACAGTGGTGTTATTGTTATTTTTAAATTATGATAATAATGTACAAGACTTGTCTGTGTATGATGGGACCGCAATCTATAATTTGTAATTTATACATATTTAGGTATTATCGTTTCAAACGTGGCTTTACTTTCGACGATTCATCGCGATTTACAATATTGTATGTTCATATATGGGCATAAAATAATATGAAACTGATATCATAATATTACTCTAGATGTTCTGCAATATTGTTTATTTGATATTGCCGAGTTCGGTGATTAGCCTACACAGATAACTCATATTATTACTATAATTTATGTGCTACGACTTTGACCGTGTTCTTATTTGTCTTGATTGAAATCCGAAACCTCTACAACGATAATACCTAATACGTATAGGTATAATAGGTAATAATAATAATATTATAATATTGGGTAAACACTGCACCACCCAGCAGCAGTCCGGTCGTCACAACTATAATATAGCAACTTCTTTTATGTATGCTTCAAGTCTGCCCCTCCTTTCGGTTTGACATTTTTTTTTTTTTATTTAATTTTTTATTATTCTGTGCTTATAATAAGCATAGAAAACACTTATAAAATAATAAGTATACATTTTATCTATAAATATCGATATTCTGTGAGTATGATCTTCCATTGATTTATGTAACAGTGATATCTTCCATTTTTTTTTTTTTTTTTTTAATTAATGTTTTTAATGTAACAATAAGTAAAATATCTAGTCATTTTTGCTTTATAAGCTACTCGTTAAAAATAGTACCTAATTTGTTTTCGCATAACAAAATACAAGTGTTATAATGATAATATTGCTGTACATATTTTTAATTGTTATAAATACTATGAACAAATACATGACGTGCCTTTTCAAGTATTACAATATTATATTATTGATCACTTAATAAACAAACTGTTTGACAAATACACAATTTTTTTTTGTACAAACATTGACTTATGAAATTTATGCATTCATGTATACTAGCATCCTGCTTAACAAAGGTGTGATAACAATAATTAAAATAATTAAAATACCTATGTAGTAGTTCAGTGGTTTTTTTTGCTTAATGTGAAGACAATTACAAAACAACGTTTTATAGAAAATGTTTAGTTATTTTCTATATTTTTTCGTTGGGTATATTTTTAAAGTATTTTACTATTTGAATGGCAATATTATCAGTACACATTTTTAATATCATATTACTAAATAACATTTCTCTTTTTAAGAATTTTTGATGTGTGGGTTAAGTAGATATAATTGTTTGGAGTTTATATGGACCAGGCAGTGGAGAGGCTCAGGGATACCTGGTAAAAATGTCGGTCAATTACTCAGCTCGTTAAATTTTAAATACTTGTAAATTATAACTAATAAACTAAACAAAATAATGTATGATGTCGTTCAAAAACGTACATTTTTTAGATGATAACGATAAAAATAGTGAACAAATATCGTTTTGTCATAACTTCAAGTTATGTTTGAATAAAAATTTCCAAAAACGATAATTCTTTTTGAAAAAATGAGGGTTGAACATTCTTAAAAGTCCTCTTTTATATTATGCATTTATGGCTATCAACAGTTGACAGATATTCCAGATCAATACATTTTACATAATATATAATAATTAGAATATTATATAATATTTTAAGTTATACTTGAAAATTCTAATTACAGGTATTTTCTTTCAAGAGTTTTGTTCGACGTCGATAAGGTAATATATCGAGTAAAAATTGAAACAAAAAGATAGTTAAATATTACCTATTCGACGCCAATGAGTTGTGGCAAATGAATATTTGGTGACTCGGGGATTGTATACATCAATGAAATCATTAACTCATTCATTGCATATGTCAATATATAAAGCTAGTACCTGCCATTTCGATTCTTAAAAATGTGCATTGAGTTGTGAACAAAGTGGTTTCCGACCCAGTCAGCCAATTTGTAAGGAGCATTGTATAGGCAACTTATCATGCACTTCTCTTAAAATGTAAAATGAAGTAAAATCACGACAATATTAACGTTATTAATTTTCTTTAAGGGTGTCGGTGCCGGTCATTTATTGAGGAGTAAAATTTAGGCAATTAATTCACATGTTGCATCGGCCTTGTGAGGAACGTGCATGTGTGTGAGAATGTAAATCGATATTAGTGTGAGTGAGGTATAAAAAAATTACAATCGCTGATAAAAATATGTACGTACGCGCATGCACCATTCAGTGATACACTTCGATGGCTATTATCGAAGCACTATTTTGATAAAAAAAAATTGTTTCACAGGAAAAACTCTCATGCCTCGTAGATAATATGTCGGATTTTGGTAAATTTTTTTTTATCTGAAAGATGAGAAGTTTATCATCAAAGCTCGAATTTTTATTTTACTTTAAATAGTAGTAGAAAAATACGTTTGAAGAAGGACAAATATTGTGCATTTTTCAAATGCATATTAAAGCTTCTATAATTATAATTTTCAAAATCGGATTTTGATCAGACCTACAAAATGTTCTCTGCTTTTAGATAAAAAAAAAAAATTAACGAAATCCAACAATTCTACAGGGCTTGAGAGTTTTTCCTGTACAACATGTTTTTGTACCAAAAAATTGCTATTATTGTACTTTTTTAACGAAAAAAAATGTAATTATCAATTTTTAATAAAAAAAAAAACAAAAATACAATATTATATGCTTGCGAGTGTGCATTTATTTACACTGTAGCACTGATGCTCGAGTAAACATTTGTAAATGTTGTGATATTACGGTATATTATTCTATTTGTCTGATTTTATTTTTAACTGCAGACGTAGGTAGGTAAAACCGCACACTTGCGATAAAGTACAGTACAAAACCGCACACTTTTGATAGGTTAAAACCGAACACTTTTTTTAGGTTAGAACAGTACAATTTTTTTAATTATTGTAACCAAAAACCGCACACGTGATCTTGACCACAAAAAGGTTTGTACTATAGTACTTTATAATGTATATGTACAATTATGCAAACAAAATTTAAAAATTTAAACAAAATAATGCTCCTAAAAATAAAAATAATTTAATTAATAAAAATAAAAATATTACTAGGTATTGTCTATTATATATTTACTAACTTGTTTTTGTTTTTCAATTGGACGGACAATATTTTACACTCCATCATGGGACTTACGTCTTAACCACTATTTAGGAAAACAAGACCGGCTGATAACGAGTGGCTAAATAAGTGACTAAAGAATTAAGACTTAAAACGTTTTAGCGTGATTATTGTATAGTATTTTATTACCTTATCCGTTATTCAGCACAAAAAATAGTTTGTGATTTTAACCCACTATAAGTTTGGTTATATAATGTCCGATAAAGTGTGCGGTTTTTGGCCATACACCTTTTTGGGGTCGAAATGAAAAGTGGGCGGTTTTTGGATGCAACCTAATTTATATCGACGTTATGCCAAATGCAATTAATTAGTATATTCTACATAATATACGATGTTTTTACTTAAAATGAATCGATAAACTACCTATGTAGGTCATTAGAAGAAATTTAAATTAGGAATACATCAGCGCATACCGATATTTTTTGATATAATAAGTAGAATGTAATCATATAGCTATATAAGTATAATACATGTGTATTCATTTTTTATAAGATGGGTAGTGAAATACAATTGATTATATTTACATGCGTATCACCTATACCTAATGAGTAATCTCACCAATAATTTCGGTAAATATTTACAAGTTTTTTTTTTGTATACTTGAATAAGTAATTTTTGTTATACGAAAATTTGTCCGTCATGAGTTGTTTATAGTATTTTTTTTTTTTTTTAGAGAGATTGTTGTACACTTATAGATAAGTAATTATTGTGTTATTGTGAATGATTATGAATGAATATAAATCATGAATCAACGAATATAATTTTTTTTCTATATGATTGTAAATTTAAAAATAAATTAGTATCTCTACTGAAAAATAAACAGAAACATCGCATTTTAAATCGTTTGGGAATAATAACATTATTTTTCGTAAAACGTATTAGTAATACACAACACATTTCGTATATTATATTAGTTTATTACATATAATAACACTATAACTTTTCTTTTTTGGGAAAATCCCAACCGAGTTCCGGTTTCTCTGCCACAGCCATGTAGACCATAGCACCTCTGTTTGGCAAAGGTTGAATGGCCACGTAGGTCCGTTTGTCCGGTGTCCAGTGGCATTGATATGGAAGAGGTTTAGGGGGAGGCATTGGCTTATCGAAAGGTCCTGGCTCGGGTTTCTAAATAATATTTGTGTATTAGATACAGGTCTATGTACTTACAAACGCTTATATTATATATTTTAGACTAGTTGGCCGAAATTGTTTCAGACCGATTAATTTAAGTAATATAGATTTAATTATTTTACTCAAACTGGATGTTATAATGTATTATATTAGAGGTGCTGAGTTATAGTACCTATAATAGTATAAATATGGTTTCAAAAATAAATGATTTTAGACTAATCCTGTTAAATATAGTCGTTTACATTATTTTATAGATACATACCTACAGTTCTATGGGTATATAATTTTTTTGAAAAAGGTTACAAGAAAGTCGGTTGTAGTTTTCGTCTGACCAATCAAAATGGGTTGGTCTTTCAAAAGCGGTAAAAATAATATTATTGGACTCAAAATATTTGACAGGTAATATTATAACGTAGCTAGGTGTCTGTAATATATCTATCTATCATCCCCTCATCTCCACTTATCGGCCGCGTATCAAGTGATGTTTTTGGCACTTACTCCCCAATTGCAGCAAGTAGGATTTTGTCCGGTCTCGGCGATCGTCCGCCTGACGACTCCCATGAAATATTTCATGAAATTGTTCCGGTGTTTCAACACGTTCACGTCCCTGCTCTGCAGAGCCTTCGCTCTGTTTATCCACTTTTCGGTGATGGATCTGTCTGTAGAGTGAAAACGAAATCGTTATAATTAGATAAAGCCCGACGACGATAGAATGTGTTATACATTAATTCAAAGCGAAAACAGTGGACACAATTTAATGATATTATTATATTATCGAAATCAGTTATTTTGTTCGGAAAAAACAGTAATAAGCATAATGCTGTTTAAAAACCGATTATTTAAATGCGTTCGATAATTATAATAATTGAACAGAAAATCCACAACTATAACATTTTATAAAATATTACCATCCATATCCCTCATCAGCGGTATCATAGTTTTTGCGACCTCTGTCATTTCGGTAAATTCTTGTGCGTAGTCTGTCATGTTAATAGTTGAAGAATTTTTCGCTTTTCCTCAATCGATCTCAATATCGTTAAAATAAAATCTATACTCTTATGCTACCAATTGTTTAAAAGTAATACGAGTGTATAATAATATTGTTTTTTTTGAATAGCAACGTCAGACGAATACGCACTAGTTTCCCAGCTGTTATTAATTTCAGCCAATCGTCGTATATTATATGTATAATATTATTATTAACCATTTTAATAACTGAATTTATTGTTGGATTGTCATTTTTGATATATTTATTACGATTACGGCACTCAAAACATAATACAATGTACTGTTTATCATTTCCGGTCAGTAATAATATTGACAAAACACATTGATAAGTGTGATCAATTTTATTCGTGATTGGAATTAGTAGGCACCTACCTAAGGCATATTTAATATTTTAGTTATAGTTTGAATATTGAATACTATTAAATTATTATATGATTAGTTTTTGCTTCAACTCAATTTAATAAGAACCTATATGAAAACAGGTCATAGTAAAAATCAAATAAGAACTTCAACAAAAATATCTAATAATTAAAAAAAGCGATAAACTTTAAAAACGCTATTTAGATACCAATAATTATTTTGGTGAAAAATATAATGGTAAAGTGGTTTTTCGAATATATATTACATCATTACCATTCTTGATTTTTAATAAAGTAAGTTTGATAATTGGAAAAAAAATTGAATTTTGAAAACTTCAAGAGCTTTTGGTAAATAGGAAAATAGTCAAAATTTAACTCAGTAATAACGAGTATTAGGATGCAATTTCTAATTAAGTTCTAATTATATAAGTTAATATAAGATATTAATGAGACGGATCCATGCACAAGCCTTGAAAACTATTTCTTTTTAAAACTTTTTTATTAATTTATGAGAGCTAGAAAGTTAGTTTTCAGTTAACTTTTAAACCGTTACAAGAATAGTCAATTTTAGATAGATTTTTCAATAGCTACGCAGACATCAGAAACTTAGGTTTAAATGAAACAAAGTTCACCACTGGCCAACGTATCTAATGGACACGAAACTCACAAACACCATGGGCAATCGCGTCTAATGGATATACGCATCTACAAAACACATTTTGGCCAATAAACTTAACAACTAACAACTGAAAACGACTACGTAGAAAATAATTCCTTGGTCAAATAAAATCCCTTCTCCCAATGAATTTCCAGATATTATTAAGACGTCATAAACAATCACCTAACGTGCTCTCTCTATGGTTTTCGGAACGTAAACACAAAAAACAAATCTTTCACAAACCTAACGAACGTACTGTATCATTTATCACGCCTCTGTAATTGTACCCAGTACCAGTGGAGTAGTCATGATTTGCAAAAGGGGGGTGGGGGATCAAAAAAAAAAACGATATACCTAAATGGGAGGAGAAAATCGGAAAATCTCCCACTCTCTCAAAACTCTTTACTGAGATAATAAAAACCCAATGGAGGTCAGATCCCCCTCCTTGTCTACGCCACTGCGCAATACTGAGCACCAGTCAATTAGTATTAATATATTATAATATACAATATAACTAATCAATCGTAAAAGAGCTTAAAGAATAAAGAGCATAACTATATTTTAGTAGTTGTATTCAGTTATAAGATTTTGTAAAACATCATTGAGCCCCAATTAAAATTATGAATAGGTAGTTTTTATATTTTACAATCTACTAATAATTCTCTTTACAAGTTTTACAATTTCTTTTACTAAATAAAATATCGTGTATAATTTATTTACATTTGAAAATAAAATGTTTGATGCTCTTGATTTTGATTTGATGGTATTCTTATTGAATAACGACATAATACTATATGTTACAATTAATATTAATACTATTAATAGGTATATAGATCCATAATATTTAAAAGCCTTTGTTTTTTTTTTTAATAAAACTGTTGATTTCTTATATGTACAATATATTATATTATGATGTTGGCTTTGTGATGAACTAAACAATTTCTTTTTATTTAAAGCTACAAGGCTTAAAACTATTGATAAACTAAAGCTAAAATGCTTATAAAAGTTGTAATCATTTAAACTGAAACATAAATGATAAAAAACATATTGTATGTGTTTTAACCAAAAATGTATCTTTCTATTGGTTCTCAACTATACCCTGTTCAAAATAAGAAGCGACCTGATTTACGCTTGAAAACCGGTTTTACTAGTGGCCGCCTGAATCGCTTCTTAAAATGAACAGACTATAATCTATAATAACATTTTTATCATAATATTTTATGTTTCCTAAGAAGTTACTTAACCATTGACAACATAAGTTATGGTAATAATAATTATACTCTAGATTATATTAACATGGAAAACAAATTTATTATCTATTAACTATGGAGTAGGTATATAAATAAAAACAAATAAATAAATAACTACAAATAGTATTGATTACTAACAATATTAAGACGAATAAGATAATCTAAAAAAATGTTTTATATACAAATATTATTGTCATAATAAACTGATTTCTTAAATAATTTTCTTCCATCAGAATCAATAAAACTATTAATTAAAGGATAGAATTTAAAAACAAATACATAATAGTATAATTATTTTGGTGGATTTGTGTAGTGTGGTATTATATTACTAAAATGGATCGCCACTTATCAACATCAACTTGCTTTCAAATATTATAATATTTGTACAGTTGCATAAATAATGGATAACATTGTTATTTTATTTATTCAGGTCATTGTCTATTATTTTAAGTTCCTATAATAGTACATTAGTACCTATATAATATTTAGTATTTTTCAATGTTTTTTAGATAAACGGCCGTTCAAAAAATGTTCCAGATTTCACTTCTATATAATATTCCATAAAATATAAACATTTAAAAAAAAATATTTAACAATAATATTAAATTTTAGCTTTAAGCTATTCTGCTTATTAAATTATTTGTAACAAGCATTCTGCAAGAAGAATCAATGATTACAATGTTTATAATTTTAAATCGTATTCGATTTAATAAAATAAAATATATAATCAATTATCATATATTATTGCTGTTGTCTTATCTTAATATTAAATGTCAAATACAACTTACAATTAAAATTTTTATTGGTGATAATAATTATTGTATGTATTATTAAAAATAATTAGGCGTTTACTTAAATATGATTAAATTAATCATTTTAGCCTTTTTATTTATATAAATATGGTACTAACTATATTTCGATCAATTCCTATCTGACGTGAGTCGTATCAAAAATAAACTGGAAATTGAAATTACATGATTACGTATTGTATAATGTTATGACGAACAATATTGTGATTTTAGCATACTATTTTCGTGAACACAGACTTTTGGAAGGACTTGGATGATTACTTCTAGAGTGATTATGTTTAATAAAACTATGAGAAAAATGGGTAGGTATCCTATTAGAGTTTTTTACAATACCGATAATCTAATCGCATCTATTTTTTAGAATATTATATAGTTATGGTACTGATATGTAAAATAAAAATTACGATTAAAAACTAAAAGTATAGGTATGCATATATTGTACTCAGATAATATTGGTTTAGTTTAAGAAAACAAACAAAACAAAACGATTAGGCTCCTAACATTTTTTTAACTGAGTAACCGGGAATGGAATAGAAAAACAAAATTATCATAAGGAATATCGCCAGCACGATGATCCCCTTCAAAATTTTCCATTTATAATTGTGCCAAATTATGTAACGTATAGATTTAAATGGATTTAGGAACCACATGAATGAAGCATCTGGTCGGCTGAAAAAATAAAATAATAACCATATTTTAATATTGTATTGTACATGACGTGATCTCAAGAATTTAATTCAAAGTGCATTTTTTACTTTGGCTTGTCCAACGGATCTGGTTCATTGCGTCCAATACCCGCGGGAATCTTTTCCGCTTCGTCGGTGGTAAGCAAATGTAACTCTGCCTCGACCTTCCCCTGTAAAATGGAATTTCCCGAAAATTACAATAATACTACACTGTTACACTACCATGGTTTACAGACCGTCAATTCCATTTCCTCGTTTTCTTTTTTCACATAAAATGGCCACCAGCCTTTAACCCGTTTTTGCTTGAATATATTAACCATCGGTACTGATCCATCCGACTTGAGCATTTCCAACGTGCACAACTTTGAAGATTTGGCACCTCGCGGAAAATTGTTCAAGTCCAAAGTTAAAGCTCCTAAACATTTTATTGGTTTGAATAGAGGAACCCTTTGTCATTTGTCACAAGTGTACAATACTGGAACTTGTACAACTCGCATACGTATTGTTTTTGTGTTTATTTAGAACTATTTGAGTAAAATAAGGTTATTAATGCTATTTTTCTAATATAGAGTTTCTAGTGATAATTTATGTAACTTGTACATTTTAAATTCGAATAGAAATTAGATATAATAAGATATATTTTATAACAAAAAATGGGAAGAAATGCACTTTACCACACCCCTGATGAATTCAAATTTTTTTTTTTTATATAAAAACGTGTTTTTCAACGTTGATTTTGCAATTTTTTGAATTTTTTTTTCGCGAAAACCATTATTAAAGAAGCTTATTATGACAAAAAAAACTTTAAAATCTTTGGGCCTTCTGTAAAGTACATTTTCCAGTACAAAGTTGATTGTGTGTTTGGCACTCACTCGTTACGCTCTGCAAACCAAAAAAATCCTTCGATTTGTTATGAAAAACTAAATTCGAGTGAATCCCAAAAACTAACTTAACCATAAAAAGTATGATATTAAGAATTGAACCACAAACCCTCATTTTAAAGATTTTTCCCACAAAAAAATCAAACAATTTCAAAATCAGCGTTGTAAAACACGTCTTTTGAAATTTTTTTTTGATATTTGTTGAGAACGTGATAAATTGCATTTCGGGCCGAAAAATGTGTCATCAAATCCATATTAATTTTTAACACATGTATTACCGTGCGTCACTTACTAGTTACTATACACCTAGTATTATATTTAGTTTTTTAGCTTATA